TGAATAGGACCTTGTCAGTGTGATGGTGTGATGTTGTTGAATACGTCATGAGGCAGTGTAAAATAATCGAGTAAAACTAAGAGAAATGAGTAGAATTTGAAAATGAATGAGTGTAAATTTATGCAGGAAATTAATTTTTTTGAAAAAAAAAACCAGAAAAATCGATTATAGCTATAAGAAATAAAAAAAACGGAAAGAAAAGGCAAAAATTTTGTATTGTCACGAATGGTTTTTCAGGCTTAGCGTTCCAGAATCAACACCCTTCACGGCTGTTCTGAAATTTGCTGCCGAAGAATTCAAAGTACCAGCAGCAACGAGTGCTATCATAACAAACGATGGTATAGGTATAAATCCGGCCCAATCAGCTGGTAATATATTTTTGAAGCACGGCAGTGAACTGAGGTTGATACCGAGGGATCGAGTAGGCAACGGGGCAGCGCCCTGAGATGAAGTTTAAATTTATGAATTCGTTACGCCTGTGATACATAACCGGTTGGAAAAAAATGCTATTTCATGAGGTAAATTGAGTTGCTCGACTCCTTATTGAACAGTTTTCGATTCTTTCCTACACCTGGATTTTCCGGAATATTGTAATATTTGGGCCATGGCCAGGAAGTGGATAAAAATGTTGCAAAAAGTCAGGAAATGGGGGAAAAAATCAGAAAAAACAGAGAAAAAACCAGTTTCCAGTGAAAAATTACAAAAAAAAAAAATTGGTTGTTAATCGAGTTGGCTGGAAATGCGGATGTATTGGATGGTTATAAAATTTCCTGAGTTCTGTGTTGTTCGAAGTGGTTTAAGTCTGTGATATTGAAATTCGGTATTTAAAAATTGTTTAGAGAAATACTGTTGTTTTCATTTTTTTTCACATTGGATTTGGGTCTTCTTTCTATTAATTCTGATTGGGTTTTTTCTCTGGCACTGAAACTTTGTTGATCCGTTGATAAGGCTACAAGATTTACGTCTTTTGGGACGCAAATCCTTCGGCGAGAATAGCGACATCAGTAGCTGATAAGCTATCGAGCGGTTGTATTTGCCTGAAGTCCCTTTTTTCTAAAGAACAGCAACCGGAGGTTGTGTGTATGCGTGTGTTTGTGTGTGTGTGTGTGTGTGTGTGCGTGCGTGTGTGTATGCGTATATATGCGTGTGTGTATGTGTGTGCGTGCGTGTGTGTGTTGTGTGTGTGTCATGTGTATGCGTGCGTGTGTTGTGTGTATGCGTCTGTGTGTTTGTGTGCGTGCGGGTGTATGTATGTGCGTGCGTTGTGTGTGTG